TACGCCCCCCCCCCCCCCCCCAATCGGACAGAGCTTGTCAGCAGTCGGACTAAAAAATATATAAAAACAGGCCCACGCCAATCCAACACATGTCTGTCACAATCAGAGAGTGTCATTTCTGGTCATCCAGAGGTTCATTCTTAAAGAATCTCATTTGGGAGGGGGAACACCCTCTCAAACCCTTCCCCCAGCTCGGGCCTATGAGCCCAAGTTCCTCCTGTCGGACTGCTCAGCCCCCCAGAAAATATATCCTAGAGCCGCCACTGCATATAGGCACACCATGAGTATATGTGGGCATTTGTCAAAACAGTCAAATATTATTTGACAAAAACATGTGACATGCCTAAATATGGTCATGATGACATCACGTCATGACCATATATAGGCACATCATGAGTATATGTGGGCATATAACAGTTTTTTGTCAAAGAGCTTAATATGTCCCACAACCATACACATTACATACCCATGCCCTCATCAAAGCTACACGTATTCCATACCGTATATGCTCCCATATATGACAAGGCTTAAAATAGCAAATTACGATTGAAACACTCATAAGATGGTATTATCGGGAAGATTAGCCTTGCATTTGGCTCTGTTTTTAGCCAGCTACATGCAGTATCAGGACCATAAAAAGCAGAAAAACTAAGTAGGAATTCCGACCATGAAACGAGGGGGTGGGAGGTCGTCTTATGTGCCCGACATACAAAAATCTTACAAAAAAATTGTTGCCTTATACGGTACGTTATGCCTGTTCCACACTGCATCTTCTCCAAAATCATACCTTGAACCTATTGTGATGATGATGATGATGATGATGATGCAAACTTGTGTAAAAATTATTAACAAAATTTAGATAATGATGATTGTGATGTTAATAATGATGAATATAGTTATCATAATAGTGATTGTGATGTGATCATGATCATGATCATATTGATGATGATGATGATGCAAACTCATGTAAAAATAATGAACAAAGTTAGGAATATTTCAGTGAATTTCTTTCTTTATTAAATATGAATTCAGCTATGATATATAATATGGATTATAACATCTTGGACTTATGTACAAGGCCATATAGTTGAATGCCTTTAGTACTTCTAATAACTCATAATAATAAAATAAAGGTGTATTTCTATAGTAATCAGAATGATTGGTATTGTACCTTACACCTTCTCCACTTTTATATTATACAAATAATAAATGTTTGTGAGTGCAATGGGAAGAATACATTCATGAATTGAAGGATTCACTGTTCAATTCAGCAAGGTGGAGCCGAGTTGAATGAAACAGTCAATTTTTAAACGAATGAAAATATTCATATATGTTGAATAAAAAACATTAATTATTTTTGTTTTATAACACAACTAAAATAGATTTTTGTCATTCAATATTTTATGAAGAAATCTACCTTTTTTCTGATTGCAACAGTTCAGCATCTTTTTAACCAATGAAAAGATTGTATTAGATTGAGGCATCCAATTGAGAGAAACGGATGGAAATAAAAATGCATGGATGGAACTAAAAATTCACGGTGGAACTATATTTCCATGGTGAGTGACAAATTGGTGTAAATATCCACCAATCAAATGACAAGGATCTATTTTTAGGTGTGTTATAAAATTAACTATCTTATTGCCATTCTATAAAGATTATATTAAATATAAATATGTTTGAATATATTTACAATACAGTTTGCCCTCCAATACAAGACCACCTTTGGGACTTGAAAATTTAGGATGGTCTCATGGTTCGGTCATACAGAGTTTATTTAGTGTTAGTGATAGATTGAAGATTGTTAATTGGGAGTGTTAGTGATAGATTGAAGATTGTTAATTGGTGATAGATTGAAGATTGTTAATTGGGAGTGTTAGTGATAGATTGAAGATTGTTAATTGGGAGTGTTAGTGATAGATTGAAGATTGTTAATTGGGAGTGTTAGTGATAGATTGAAGATTGTTAATTGGTTCTTTGAAAAAGTGTTCTCAAATTGGAGGGTGCACTGTAATTGGTATTTTTGTACCAATGTACAAAATGTACAATGTAGGCCTGCTACTAATAATTATCTAAAATACACTACCATCAGTCAGCAGTCTGGAGATATGTAGTACTTTCAGGATTCCACTCATTTGAGAATGGTAGCTATTAGATACCAGTACTGTTATAAGTTTCAAATTGTTTAAGCCTAATAAAGTATCCAAGAAAATAAAATTACAAATAATTTATTAGTCTGAGACTATGAAAAATTAATATATTACAGAGTTTTGAGCAATATTATATACACTTGAGGACAGGTTTGGGAGGGATAGCACTGTGATAATTAAGATCATTTAGCACTTGCACAAAAAAGATAAAGAAAATTTAATTACTATTATAATATATTGCTTTTTGAGACTTAAAATATTATAAATATAGTATTTATTTTTGTATATAACAGAGTTGTGAGGCAATAATGATATACAATTCAGAATGATTGTTAACACTTTTAGGATGGATAGCACAGAAATAAATATCTTCTTTTTTGCACTTACATGAAAACAAGGCATAGATGTTTCTTTAATACAGAAAATAAGTTCTAGTATATATTTTGTTATACTCTTGCTTTTCAAAGGACTGCCTTTTGTAGTTATATTCTGGAGGGCATGAGGTTGCTCTTTATGGAAATGTTGCCTACTCTTAAAGGTCTATTTACACCGAGCGGCACAAAACTGCAGCAAAACATTTTGTTATGTTGCAGAGTGCAATCCATTTACACAATGTGTGAAAGGATCTTTATCTTCCACTCAATACATGTGTCTAAATGCTCAGCAAAAGTTAATCAATGATATTAAGTCCCCTCCCCCTCCCCAATTTTTTAGAAAATTAATCTACATTGAGCACAATCTGTGTAAATAAGTCCTTTATTATTTTTGCTTATTTAATTTATGAAGCATTATTTACAAAATATCTTAACACTGATTCATTTAGAGTCATAAAACAGAGAAAAAAAATAATGATATGAATGACATACGTTAACGAATGATAATCATCCACTTCATAATAATGTATCAATCATAAGGCCATAAAAATCGTAGTGTTGTCCAAACAGAGTGGACATTGAAAATCAGGTTCTTAACGTGGTGGATAAATGGTATCCAAAAGGCTAAAAACCATGGTTAAGCTATCAAAAATATTAAATCTTTAAAAGTATATTTTCATACACAATTCAAGTACGTTTGGCTCTTAGGGAAAAGTTTTGCTTGACTTTAGATGTTTTTGGAGATTTTAGGTCAGTTGAACTTGGGCTACAAACTTTTCTTTTGGCCTAATGATCTGCATCACATAATTTAATCATAATCATCTACATGAGACATTATTCAGGTGTTGAAATATTCCAAACATAAAGCATATAAAGATATTTAAGGCTAGACTTAAAACTCATCTTTGCTCATCCAACTAATCGTTCATTTTTTCGAGCATCTATCTAAAGTCTAGGTGGTGGGGAAAGATAAAATTTTAGGGGGGCGGGGAATATGCTGGAGCGACCCAAAGTGGGCGTGGTCGGGTGTCGCTCATAATGTCTCGATAGTGGTCCAGGTGGCGAAGTCCCTGAAAACTATGGCAATTTAGCGGTGTCAGAGGTTTATTTCATCAATTTTATAGATAGATCTACTAATATGTAGAAAATACGTATCATTTTTTTTTTCTCAACGATGAATTGTGGTTCTTCCTCTTTTTGTGGGGACAAACTGGAGAGGGGAAAGAAAATTATCTGGTTTGGGAAAATGCCCCGCTAGCACCGCCACTGTTTTTTTTCTGTCTCTTCATCTTATTCGTTTTATTCAACGTCTATTGGCAATTTCTTGAAAGGCATAGAAACCTAGTACCATATTAAATCTTTCATGTTTACAGTCTGTTTTGGACCATCTTTATACTTTTATAAGAATTGTGACTGCTAACTTAGACATTTGTAAAAAGCAAAACCATTAATATAACACCAAGTATCAGAGAAAATTGAATTGTCATATTCGATCTGAATATCTTAACCCTTGATTCTTTCCTTTGATTTTCGTATGTAACGATCTCACCGTTCAAATGTTTGATTTTCCTGTCTTTTATTGTTTGTGCTTTCTCAAAATCTTCTCGTAACTTTCTGTTGGCATTCCTTTGCTCTTTCACCTCATTCCTCATGTTTAGTTCTAATTCTCTACACTCTTCTTTAAGGTGCTCATTTTCTGCTTGACTTTTTTTCCAGAAATCTTCATTTTCTTTTTCTTTCTTTAATAATTCTTGAAATTTCCTATCATTGTTTGTCTGTGCTTTCTCATATTCTTCTCTCAATTTTCTGTTAGCATACTTTTGCTCCTTTTCCACTTTTCCCATAGTTACTTTCAATTGTCTAATTTGTTTCTGTAGATTTTCATTTTCTTCTTCAATATTCTTTATCAAATCCCTACTTTTTTTGTCTTTACGGGATAATTCTCGAATTGTCTTATCTTTTGCTTTCTTCTGTTCATTTATCTTAGCATTCCCTGCTTTTAATGTTTCATTTTCCATTTCCCTTGAAACTCTTCTTTGTAAACTTCTCCTTAAATCAGTCTGCAGATCCTCACGTTCAAGTTTCAACTCTCTAATTTCTTTTTCTTTTTCTTCTATTTTATTGCGTAAATGCTTGATTTCATTATTCAAGTCACTTCTTACTTTTTCCCTATCATTAACTTCTTCTCCTTTAAATTTTTTTAAAGAATCATTTTCAATTCCTAAATCAGCATTTTCATCACATTTTCGTTTAATTTTTTCTTCAAAATCATCTTCCATTTTCTTGATATGTTCTTCTTGTTCTTCAATTTTCATGCGTAGATCCATGTTTTCAGTTTCTAAGGTTGTAATCATTTTCATCTTTTCTTTAAGTCTGTTTTCTAATTCTTCCTTGTCCTCTGCATATTGAACTAGCAAGTCCAGTTGTTCTTCAGTTTCTGTTGTTAGTTGGTCTAAATCATTGGTAATTTTAAATACTTCCTGGAGTCCTAAGACTAAGAGAAAAAAATATGAAAATTTGTAAAAAAATATACATTATAAAAACAGAATAAAATGCTGAATTTATTAATAAGTTACTATATTAATTTACCAGTGAGAAACAAAACAATGTAGTTTATGCTGATTTAAAACTGACCTTTTAAATTACTTGAAATTTAATTTACCTTTTTTTGTTAATTTCAAAATAATATTTGGAATTGGTAATTTTGTCTGGACCCCAAGGGGGACCCACGGCAGCTGCAGAGCAGAGCCAGTACCAACATGTAACAGATACATTGTTCTTTATCCTGCAGAACTATGTTATTGTTATAAAATTAAAATTTATTATTATTATTATTATTATTGTTAATTTTATTATTATTATGCGAGGTTATTCGAGGAGCAGAGCGATTTAACTCTAATTAAAATGTCAACGCTGGCCAGCTTTAAACCAGGGTCTTCAGCCCCAGAAACAGGAATATTGTCGCTTGGTCAGAAGCTTAACTCGTAATTTTAATTTAAACCTTTATATTTACTTTTAAAATTGTGACACATTAGAAATATTCCACTGGTTTGTTCGTTGACAACAATTTATTGTTGAGTATTATTTTCATATGGCTGGTTTGTATAATAATAGACTTGGTTGACAATGGAAGTTAAGGTTAACCAGAGTGCACTATTTGCTAAATTATCCATATGACGGGAAGTTAAAGTTAACCAGAGTGCACTATTTGCTAAATTATCCATATGACCAAAACAAACATGGCCGACTGGTCAGTTTAGGAAAAACTTTTGCATTAATATAACTTAGGTTATATTTCAGAAAATAATTATAATATTTTCCCACATAAAGTCAAAAATAATCGTAGGCTAATATGATTTAAAAATTACATGAAAATATTTGTTTACAATAATCCCCAACTACCACAAGCCAAAGCAACCTTGGCTATGCTAGTGTGTATCTTGGTAACTACGCAGCCATTATGTTTTGTCGAATATTTACCAGTTTTCTATTCATCTGGTCGACATCGTTAAAGTAGGATTTTACCACTGTCTAGGCAGGCATGGTTAAAACAGGGAAGAACGATTAGTCGATAGGAGAGAACTTTACTGAAAGTATTGATTGAATATAATAGCAGGAGCTTACCAACATGTTCATCATCAGTTCTGCTAATGTTATCAGCCTCTGTCAGCTTACTTACTTCATTTCCAACTTTCTCCATGTTTCTAATAAATAATAGAAACAATGTGGTAATTACTTGTGTATTTTATTATGTATTATGATTTTTTTTTTTTAATTTTTTTTTGGCTTTTTAATTTTTATCCACTCACCATTGAGAAAAATAAAGGAAATGAAACTTTTAAAAATGAAAATTCATTAAAAAAATTATACATTTAGTTTCAGATGACTTTTTGACCCCCCAAACCCCCAAAATTATGCATTAACATAATTTTGTTTTGGTTTGGTGAACAAGATCCAAATTATAATTGGAAGAGGTAAAAAAGGATTAGTTTGCATACAGTGTTTGTATTATATTTTGTTGTTAGTGGAGAAGAACATTTTTTTTTCTTTTTGTTATTGTTGACACTGTTCTCTATATTTCAACAAGTTGCATAAACTATTAAAGGGTAAACTGACACACTTCCATAGCTCCAGGGCTAATATATACTCTAGTCAATGTCAACCACTGATTTCTTATGGACACAAAAATAAGATTTATAACCGAATGGTTTCATTTAAGTACATTAGGTCTCTACTCCCAATTGAAACAGATTTTGTAAAGAGTACTATACTCACTTTGTACAGTGTTTGTAGTTCTCAAAACCTCAAAATTTACTGCACTGCATCTCTATCCCTTAGTGTTTTAGTGGTAGCTTGCAAGTATATATGGCAGCGTTGACTGGTACCAATACTCACTGAACCATGGGATTACCTTTGATTAATTCTGAACTTTCAACCTTCATTGTTTTCTTGATATGTTCTTCTTGTTCTTCAGTCTTCATGCATTTGACACTAATTTTGTGTTGAACATAGCTATAGCTAGTTTGAAACACTTTAGAAAATGAAAATTGCATTAACATATAAAATTTTAATCACCTGTTTATCCAAAAAATTTTTAAACTGATGATTTGAGCTCTAGTATTCTGTACCTTATTGATGCAATAAAGACACTGTTCTCTTTATTTCAGTGAGTGAGCTTAGGCCAAATAAAATAAATTGTTTGCCCTTTTTTTAAATTTTTTTAAAATGATTAATAGAGGCGGGCGGAAAAAGTTTAATTATTTAATTTTTTTTTAAATACTCATCAGATGGAATAAAAATAACCCACAGAGGCCTAGAATGGCAATATCTTACATCAGACAACAACTTTAGACTAATTTGTAGGGCATCTGGCAAAAAATAAAGATAAATTCACTCACATTTTTTTTTTATTTGTTAAGAAAAAAGCTAAAAAAAAAAAACTTTTTCCGCCCCTATTTTTTCCAGTGAGTTAGGGGCGGGTGGAGGAGGGCAAACAAACAATTTTTTTTTGCCTTATTTGGCAGGTAAATAGACCGACTTTCACAAAAATCCTAACTACTTTCACATTTTTTTGTTGATAGAAAAGATTTATAAACTAAAAGTTATGTATTTCAGTATCCTCAAAGGCTATTGTATGTTTTTGGATGTCAAAGTTCAATACCATTTCCGGTCTGGTACTTAACGTCAGGCTCCGGAGGGGAAAAAAATGTTGATATGTTGTAGAACTGATTTACCAATTTCAAATATTATTTGGAAATTAACAAAAAAAGATAAATTAGATTTCATGCAATTTTAAAGATCAGTTTTAAATTAGCATAAACTATATTGTTTTGTATCTCACTGGGAATTTAATATAGTAACTTATTAATAAATTCAGCATTTTATTCTGTTATGATTTGAACCAACTAAGAACAGAAAAGACAGAAAAAGTTGTTTGAAGAAAAACTGGGAAACGGTGAATGAGATACAGGTTATTAATGTTTAAAAGCTGAGGGAAAAGGTGTAAAAAGGGCAGTTATGCCCCCTTTTCTCCAGTTTTTAAATATTCAAAAATCTGTATCTTATTCACTGTTCCCCAGTTATTCCTCAAACAATCAGTTCTACAGCATATCAAAAAATTTTATCCTCCAGTGCCTGACTTTAATTATAATATTTTCAGTTTCAAAATGTGTAAACTTCCTTGAAACTTATTTATATAATGTGTCAGATTTTACCAAATATGAATGCTGAGTTATTAATATACAGTACTACTCTTGTTATTTAAAGAAATAAATTTAGCACAAATTTTAAGGCATATTGGTGGTTAGTAGTTTGTTCTCCATTTTTTATCGATAGTTCTTATTATTTATTTGGAATGTACTGTAGTATCACATGACATTATTTATTTGTGGATTTAATTCAACAGTAAGACACTATAGTAATTATATACATTTTTGATAAGATAAAATCTCAAATAGTTTTAATTTTATCTAGTTCAAAATTTCCAATGTATTGTCTATTGTACTGAAGAGCTACTTGGTAGCTTACCAGATATATCTATAAAGTCCTGTTCAGACTATAACATTTTATTTGATAAAATTCATGTGATATGCCTAAATATGGTCATGATGACATTATAATAATAATAATAAAAATAATAAAAATAATAAATAATAATAATAATAATGATAATCATAAACTCTTCCTTTGTGGTTGGCTTTTGGTAGAATACTATTTTTTATGTGTTTGGTTAATAAAGATAATTAACATTCTACTGATTTGAGTCTTATAGTACTGATTGCAATAAAGACACTATTCTCTGTATTTCAACAATGAGCTTATTAAGTAGGTATCAACCCGCTTTCACTGACCCCTAGTTTCACACTTTCTTGTTGATAAAAATATTAATTAACGAAATGTATAGTTTAATTTCAGTATTAGACCTACCTTAAAAGCAGAGTTCGAAAGTATACTACTGTATGCTTATTGTTCAAAATTGAATACAAGTAGTGTAAGAGAAATCCAATAGCTGTGTCTAGTACTTCTATATTCTGAAGTATTAAACAGGTAGGCCTACGGTTTCATTGACTTTTGAAGTTCACTGAACCGTGTGATATTGATATGTTTTGGTAGGGCACCAAATAAATCAATTAATTTCAGATATTTTGAACTTTCAACCCTTATTTGCCAGGTACTGTATGCTGTCATACCATCCCATACAACATACAAATGCTTATTCTAGAAATAGCACAATATTTGAAGAAACCTTGTTGATAGTGTTTTTTGCTGTTTTTGTGGAATTAGAATTAAACTAACGGAAGAAAGAAAAACATGCAAAATAATTCATTTCCATGGCAAAAATTTTTTTAAATGGTTTAAAAATTTACTAACTACCTCAACACCATGAATGTTATAACCATAAAAAAACTAGTTAACATGCTGAATGGTTTCAATTAGTATTCTTAGGATAGGCCTTTAATAAACCTATTATTACTATTGATTGATTACAAATTATCTTTGTACATTCACAAGTATCAGAATTATATGTCCTAAGCTTCATGACTGTGTATCCATTATGTTGAAATAACGTTTCTAATTTCTTCATTTGATCCTTTTCCATTTTATTCTTTTATGTTATTGTATTTTGTCTTTTATTTTAATATCATTTTATCTGCCAAAACCAAATAATTTATATATACCCAAGAATGTCTCAGTATGGAAGGTTTGAATCTTCAAACTTTATTATAATTGCAGGATAGTTAAAGTACAGTATTTTAATTTTGTTAATCTTTTGTTTCTGTATACATCAGATGTACTCAAAATTTGTTTGTTATTGTTTACAGCTGTCTGCTGCCCAAGACACGAAACCACACGACAGAGTAAGTTTCTATTATGATTTATATTTAACAGAATGAACCTTTAAATACTTTAGGTAAAAACCCTAATCTGTACCTTTAATGATTTGGTTCAGTGAACACATAGGGACAGTACTATTATTACAATATAGTTGTGAGAGGGTAAATGTACAGCCAACGTTGTATCCATATCTCTTTTTTGCTGAGTACAAAAAATTGAACTTCAGGTACTATAACGTTCTTATATTTCAAAAAGTTTTAAGCAGGGGCGGATCCAGAGTTGTCCAAAAGGGGGTTGGTCAGAAGGGGACGGAAAGTGGGGCCAATCGAGATAACAATACCCTAGTTGGTCCGGGGGAATTCCCCAGAAAATTTCAAGTTCTAGACGCCTGAAAATAACCTCTGTGGCCTTTTGACCTTTTCCTTTCCTTTCTTTTTGACTTTCCAAAAGCCCCCTCTCTCTCTAAATCCTCCACTTTTGAAGACTTATTACATTGGCTTACAGCACCAGGTCTATAATAAGCCTATTACTGAAAAACGGTATTTGAAAATGTGCTATACTCTCAATATATTAAACTGTAGTGTTCTAGGTCTTAAACCCAATTTATGTTGATTGACAGAAATTCAGTGACAGTACGTAGGGACAACACAGCTGCCTTTAACGTTCAATTTTGTGTGTCTAGGTTTATACGTCACTGGTGGGCGTTGTCTACCTATGCTCATTGACCCGTGGTATTGATTCTAAAGCCAGTGGTATCTATTTTATCGATTCGAAACTGTTTGAACTTGTAACCTTACCATTTCCTTTAACATTTCTAACTAAATATGAATGCTAGAAATGTTAAGAATTATTGAAAATGATATATTAATGTATATATTTAATTGTTTTTGCATATATTTATACAGTATATTAATTTATTTATATATATTAACTTTCATTAGTTGTTTTTTCTTTAGATCAGATTAACCAAGCAACATATTTATGATAAATGTTTGGAATGTTTTTTTTTTAAAATTTACTTTGGAAGTCACTGTTTTCGTTGTGGTTCCGATTAATTATTATCCCAAGTCTTATTCTTATTCTTAGGGCCAGGATGATATTACTAAAATATTCCTTTTGTGTAATTTTCTTCTTTTTTTTTTTTTTCTCACTTCTCTTCTCACTAAAAAATATTGATTATAAGCACATAGGCCAATGATTGCCCATATTAAATATATCACTGTGTTATATATTCCATTTCACAACAGGAACATGAAGAATGCTCTACATTATAATTTTTATAATGCTTGGAGAGGGGTGTTGTTTTTGGTCATGAGAAAACTTACTTGTCAGGATTTGATTACAGGACTCTGGGGTGAGAAGACAAGCATCTTGACCAACCTACGGCTCATAAATACTTGGGACCAGATTAGGCCTAAACCCTACCTAATCATAAACATTTCTTTTGTGGTTCGTTTTTGGTGCTGTGTCTTCCCCTCCGAAAACAGCAGTCTTACATTTGTAGTCAGACAGAATGTAATCTCTTGTGTGTTGCTTAATAAAGATAACATTCTGCTAATTTGAGTTATACTATAGTATTCGGTACTATATTGATTGCAATATAGATTAATTGAATTGAAAATATAATAGCAGGCCTCTGTTCTCTGTTTTTCAATACGTTTTTGTGTTGGGTTAGCCTAGACCCACTTTCACAGCTCAACTATAGTTTCACATTTTCTCTTTTGATAAAAATGACTAAAACTATGTATTGACGTATTTCAGTTTCCTTAAAGTCTAGACCTACCTTGAAAACAGATTTTGAAATTATGATATGCTTTGAATATACTCACTTATAGTTCGTTTTTGGGTGTAAAAATTCACTTGTAGCGTAAGAGAAATCCACTTCACAGTCTGGTAATACATTATCAGTTAATTCATTGGGTGTTTACTTTCCAAGTACACTGAACCATGTGATATGTTCTGGTAGGGCACCAAATAATCGATTTCAGATAGTTCGAACTTTAACCCTTATTTACCAGGTACTATTTGCTGTCATATGTCTGACCTCATAATAATGCTTAATCTAGAAATACCACAATATTAGAAGGAATCTTGTTGATTTAAATTGTTAGTGCTTTTAACTATTTTCTGGCATGTTTACAATTAAACTAATGTGAGCTAGAAAGAAAAACATGCACAAATAATAATTCACTTTCACACCAACAATAGTTCTTTGAAAACTTTATTAAAAATGGTTCACAAATTTACTAACTATTTCACCAGTATTTAGTATTCTTACGGATAGGCCTTTCAACCAGTGGTGGTGGTTGGGGGGGGGGGGCAGGTAGGCGGGCTGGCCGCCCCTCCCTCTAAACATTTCAAAATAAAAACAAAAATGGTGAAAAAAAATTGAATTTAAGTCTGCGAGTGCAATTTACAGCTCTCTAGCGGTGCCATATCATAAACTTTCTTTCCTCAGCCCCAACCATGGTGAGACTGCTGGGGTGGGTGCACTCTCTTTGATCCCACTCTTTTTCAAATTCATGGACCGCCACTGTTTAAACCAAGATAGATATTAAAATTGTAATTCTATAGATACACAGACACAGATAAAGATAACTTTATCCATCATAAAAATACAATTGCTAATCTAGATAAAGTGTTATTTTGGGTCTCAAATTCAATATTAATTGCCAAGTATAGCATAAGAGAACTACATTGCTTCAGTGCTTCCAGTGCCGTCTTACTTACCAGATACCTGGGATATCATGTTTACTATAATAATAATATAATAATAAGCTAACACCAGAATGCTCTTTAGATTAGGAAGTGCTTTTCCTGATCATATTTTAAAAATTATTTATTGTAGTTTAATTTGATGATACCTTAGCTACGGCATTGTTGCATGGGGTAACTGTGCATGGTACCAACTAAACAGTTTACATTTAATACAGAATTGAGCAATCCGTGTTGTCCGTACTGCTTAATTCCGTGCTTGTACTGCTTCTTTGTTTAAACATCTTAGATTACTAATTTTTTTTTTTCTTTTTAACCAAGAATGCACAGCATGAATTATGTAAATTATGTCATGTCATTTTATGCATAAATTTGATGGTGTATAGGGTATGTAAATTTTGCATGTTTAAATAATTTTGTATAGTCATCTAGTGTAAAGTAGCATTTGATTGACAGTTAAGTGTATGCATTGGCGAACAATTGGGTTACTTAATTCCCTCTCGCCTGTGAAAGAGGAAGGATGTAGGAACCATTGGATTGGTGTATGTGATTAGTTTGTATTTATGTAAAAAAAAAAATTGCGTAAATCTTGAAAAGTGAGTCATTTTCACTTTACTGTTACGGGTCACAATTGATTGGTTAAACACTTTTGGTACTAGTGCATATAAGCTTGCTAATATGGATAATTTTTTCATTCCTGATGATGACATAATTAATGTCGAAATATTGAATCCCAACACGATGGCGTGTATTTCAATACTTGGAGTATGTATTATACTTTCTTATCTGAGATTAATCATTGGACCTTTCGGGTCACAGACTGTGATTAGAATAAAGTGTTTGGTACCATTGGAAAGCTAAGATGTTTGCAACTTGTAGTTTCATTACAGATAAATCTGATCACATATGCACTTTCAACAAGTTTCAGAAAAGCGTTAGAATGCGCTAAAGCCTGGTGCTGGCTGATACTATTTTTTCAAACCCCTGGTGGTCAGAGTGTTAATATCAATATTGTAATTTTCTACCATTTAAAAAAAAATTAATATTTTTTTACATAGGCAGCAGTCTATGCAAATAGTAGAATGTTATGAATCTTTTAAAATCAACTCCTCTTTTTTTCAACATAGTTGATCGTCCCTTCCCTACTTAAAAAAAAAATTATTATTTTGTAATTATTTTGTCTTTCAGTTGCTTGTATATATTCTACCTAAACGCTACATTAGAAAATCCCGCAAAGTCAGCCAACATTTACTGTACATGGGGCCTTGCACTCCGTGGGGGAATGTGAAGACTTGCCATGTATTAATGGGGTGGTTTCATTACTGATTAAATAAAAAAAAAAAAAACCTCCCCCTCCCTACTGAATTTAAAAAAAAAAAAGGATGGTTGACAACTTGTGTTTTTTACATGGCCACATGTACAACTGATGTTATTACAGTCATTAGGCCGACCAGCCCCTCCATAAACTAACGTTAGAATACCGCACTTTCGGCGGTAAAGAACAATTAAAACCTCATAAAAAAGGCAACTAATCCGTTTACTTATAATTGATCCAAGGACACCAGTGTTAAACACTCAGTACTTATCCTTGATAATGTGTTAATCCAATTAATATAGTGAGATAACGTAACGTTAGTTTATCGAGGGCGGGTTGAGCTAATGACAAGGAAAATTTGCATATCAGAAGCAGACAAGCGGTAATTAAAAGTGCCTTTTTTCTAGATGGTAGATTGTTTATCTATGGATAGCAATCAGTGGTTTCTTTCAGGAATTTCCTGCTGTGCGTACAAATGGATATTAATTCATTTCTGCAGTTGAGAGAACTTAACTCAGGATGACTAATAATTATAAACTTCTTATGTAGGCATTTTCCAGAAGTCCAATGTAAGTTTCTTCTTTCTTGTTGTCAACACTTGTTACAGTAGCTTGATAGAGGATCTCTTCAGTGAGGGATTTGCCTGACAGTGGGCACTCAGTTTTTTTGGCTGCAGTTACATTTATTATCGAGTAAAGGGTTCATTTTCTGTAGTTTGTTAAATAGATTTGTTGTGCGAAGTTAATGATATGCAAGTTTTCCTTTCAATTACATCAGTTGTACATATCCACCTGAAGAGTGTGGTTTGCTTTGCCAACCATACGAAACAATGTTGTAGTGAAATAAATAATATGAAGGAATCAATTTTTGCCTTCGTTTTGTTTGTATCTAACTGTACCCTTGTATCGAGATAATAGATATAAACAAGTTTTTATTTCGAACCTGTGCTTAAAGTTTAATTTTTTTTAGTTTTCTAAATTTATTTTAATTTTTAAAATGACTTACATTAAAAATCACTTTCACTTTCAATTAAATACTTCCCTTTAATAATAATTATTATTTTATTTTAGTAATCACTGTGCTTAAAGTTTAATTGTTTTAATAGGTATATTTTAGTTTTCTAAAATTATTTTCTAAAATTATTGCACAATGGGTAAAAATAAGAATATAAATGACTAAT